TAAGGACCATGGTGTACACTAGCTAAACTGTAGCTAGTATAGTAGCTAGAAACTGATTAAGTTTCAGTATAACTTTCAAAAGAATAAAGAAGCTGTTCACCTCAAATAACAGAGAATTAATCATTGTTTCCAGATGTCATAATAATCATAGATGTTCACTATGGCCTTAACATTGTTCTATTATAACCAGGACCAGATTTCAAATTGGAATTCTTTAATAAATTTGATAATAAAAACACTGTTCTATTCATGAAGAGACTAAGCTATGAAATTCATTCCAATTAGAAGAATAACTTTTACCACTGCCAGTTGTGAATTTACAACTTTTAGAGATTGTCTTTGGAATAATTCAGCAGCTGACTTTCTTTCAGAGGTACTTGTACTGAAATTCTGCAGAAAGATTAATACAATTGTAAGTTATCAGATTTTACAGGTGTTACATTGACTAAACTGAAGGAGGAAAAAAACCCAAGAATGAAAACATGCTTGGTTTAGAGAAATCCTTTCCTCAAGTTTGCAAGGTCACGTGTCTTTTCTACAAAAATGAAGAATCAAACCATGTCTCCTAAGGACCAATTTATTTGTATGTGATAGGAAATCACTGACTTCATCCCAAATCCTAGCAACTTAGAAATTCTGATTGTGGCAGACTAATTCTTCAGTGCTTGCCAATAGTCAGCAAAATGAAATGGATTATGCATTAGCACAAGCCTGCCAAAATTTTGTTTTCTGACTCCGTTCAGATGGTCACACTGCAAGTCCTGCAGTTAGAATCATTCAACAAAGAGAACTTGATGGTTTTCTGAAAATCAGACACAGTCCCACAGAAATAAACAGAATGCAAAGCACTCACACAACCAGAGGGAGCTGAGGGAAGTTCCCTACTTACACCTTAGTAGTTCTGCATGTAGTTGCTGGGTCCTGTAAGAAAACTGAACATTTCTTATTTTTTATGTTTAATGACAGAAAGGAGGATGCTTCAGTGGCTGCAAGTGATAGCAAGTTGTCAAACATGCTGAAAGGAGGTAGTCAGCATGCATCAAATCAAGTTTTCAGACAAGTATTGTTTTCTTCCTCTACAAGTGAAATGTTGGTTTACTGAACTGTCATTCTGAGCTGTTGAAACATATTCAGTGCACACTGTGTTGTATCTATCTGGAAGACGTATTTTTCCAATATTTTAGCATGAAAATTTCTCAGCTGCGTAAACTTCACTCTATCTACTGCCTCATTCAGTGTGCATTCCCCTATATAAATCGGAAAATAATTAAAAAAAGAACAGTAGCATATTTTGTGTATCACTGGCACCTATATTACTGAGAGCAACTACTACTTGCTGGCATGTTATTTATTATTTCAGTTTTAATCTATCTGAAATTGTTTATAAACTTAAAAGAACACAGTTCAAGGTCCCTTAGTCCCATGAAATTCAAGCCTCCATCCTGACTGAATACTCCATTTACTAAGATAATAAGCAGCACAGAAGCAGCATTACCACCATTATCAGTTTTATTCCTTTGATCTTGAAGGAACTCCTATATAATGATAAGTTTTGTGCAACCTGAACTGAATTTTAATGCCTGTATTTCAGGCACTGTAACTAAACTGAAAAAGGAATAAATCATCCAGTCATTCTGAGAATCCTAATCTAATGCTCTGACAACAATCGAACATTTTCATGCTCTGCTCCTACTCACGACCATGAACTCTGTAAGCAGTAGTCCTCTTTCTTTGTGACCTTTGAAAGAGTTCTTTGCAATTCTACATCATCTGAGATGCATGCTGCTAATGCAGCTCTGTGCTAAACTATTTAGTAGCAGAATCTGGTATAAATGGCATGAATGTGGCTTGAAATTTGATATTATGAAAAAGTTCACAAACAGATCAAACAGCTCCATGAAAGAATATTTCAGACAGTTAAAGAATCACCTTATATTAAGGCAGACATATATAACCTGTCAAAAAAGGTCCACAAAGAACAAAGAAAATCTAGCAGAATTAAAAAGGAAGCTATTAGAAGTTATCCTTCAAGAAGCTGAAGCTATACCCATTAAGGAAAATGGAAGGGAATTAATTCTGATAAATTCTGGTAGAGCATAAATTATCTTCATGGAATAATGTGCACAGGCATAAAAGAGATCATAAATAAGAGACTGCCAGTCTGTTGGAATTCAATGTTTTGTATTCATGTGCAAAATGATTAGAGAGATACTCTAGAATACTATTTTATGCAGACCGAACCAGAGGATATACTTAAAACTGATATTTCAGAAAGAAAGCTGTAAAGTGAGTCAACAAAAAAAAAAATAAATCAAAAATCACACCGTTAAAAAAAAAAAGCAACAAATTTTTAATATCAGGTGATATTCAGTGTAAAAGATCTCAAGTCTATATTAACTGTAATACAGAGTCTCACTGACAAGAAAAACAAAAGGTGGTAAATATGATTCCAATTTATTTATTTTTTAGGAATTTCACTGTTAGATCAACTGAATAATAAGTGAGTCTGATATCCACACTGGACAGACTTTCAGAAACCAAAATAGAGAATAAAATTAGCAAGCATATGAATAAATTATGATGCAATCTGAGAATGGCTTTAATGAAGGGAATTCATCTCTGTTACATGTATTATAATTCCTTCAAGGATTCACAAAGAATGTGAGTAAATGAGATTTATTCATACTGATGAGTTTGGCTTCCAGTCTTTTAAAGTATCTCATCTGCCATGGAATAAGAATGAATTTGTCCATGAGAAAACAACCAATGAAAAGATAAGAAGAAATGAATAAATGGTCAGGGTTTGTTAAGGGAGAAGTATCACCCGTGAAGCCTCACACGGGATCTGCCTAGAGATGCTCTGTTCAGCATATTCATAAATTATCTACAACAGAAATAAATGAGAGATAGAAAAGTTTATTTATCACACTAAAGTATCAGCAGTTGTGGAAAAACCACCAGCTGAGAAGAGCTGCAGAACAGACCCATAATACTGAATGGAGAAGTCAGCTTACAGAAAGACAGATTTAGGTTAGACAGTAAGAAAACCTTTCTATGATGAGGATGGTGAGGCAGTGGAACAAATAACATAAGAAGGTGTGGAAGAATCTCATTGGAAATCTGTCAAGAGAAGTCAGACAAATATCTGCCAAGTTCACATGATCCGTCCTGAGGACAGTCTAAATTATGTATCGGAAAGTTTCCTTAGAAAATGAAGCCTTCCTCCTAAAGTAATTTTTCTATGTTTTTAAGTATGTAGACATAATGACTTAAATCTATCCTGACTCTCTTTTATAATCAGATGAAATTAAGACAGAAATTATTATATCTCTTACTACTGGCAATGTGATTTAGTTAAAAAAAAAAAAAAAGAAAAAAAAACACAATAAAAAGATGAGAGCTTACTGACAACATTTTAAAATTACCTTAAAAATCCACTTTGAGAGACTTAAACATAACCTAAGTTACTTTAATCAAACAGGAAATAGCAGATCATTTTATACTTTGTCAATCAAAACCTTTAGTCCTTTATTTAAACCTACCTTTCTGTTTTGGACAAATACATAGCATTTATACTATCGTCTTCTACCTTTCAAAAGATAAGATAAAATTTGCAGATTGCAAGGAACGTATTATGCAAAAAAAAATAGAATTATAGAAATAAATTGTACTGGAAAATTATTATATTAATAATTATTAAATTATTATATTATTGGATTGTTTTACAAAAGATGTGTGTCCACAGAAGACTAGCATAAGATACCTCGAGAATTGTCATGAATATTTACAAGTATATGTCAGAATCTGAAAAAGATACTGTATAAGGTGTGAACATTTTCTCTAAAATGTTGAATAAACTGACCTCAGAACTGTTTTTCTGTGGTTACCTCAGTTTTGCTGAATTTTTTTACTCTATGATCCAACATTTAAAAATTTGGATTGCTGTTTGGATAAAAAAATTCAGATTACTTGTCGTTACACAATAAACACCAGTACACTAGCTGTTGTTCTGTATTATTAGTGCATTTAATTTTTCCATAAAAATATTTTTTCATTTGTAAGCATATTTATATATGCATATAAAGGACACAGATCTGTTGGAGCAAGAGGCCACAAAGACTATCAGAGGGCCGGAGAGCCTCTGCTATGAAGACAGGATGAGAGAGCTGGGCTTGTTCAGGCTGGAGAAGCGAGGGCTCCGGGGAGACCTTACAGCAGCCTTCCAGTACCTAAAGGGGCCTACAAGAAATCTGAAGAGGGATCAGTTACAAAGGCATGTAGTGATAGGACAAGGAGGAACGGTATTAAAGTGAAAGAGGGTAGATTTAGGTTAGACATTCTTTAGAAATTCTTTACTGTGAGGCTGGTGAGACACTGGAATGCGTTTCCCAGAGAAGTTGCATCTGCCCCATCCCTGGAAGTTGGGGTGTGACAGGTTGGGTGGGGCTTTGAGTAACCTGATCAAGTGGAAGGTGTCCCTGCCCAAGATCTCTTCCAACCCAAATCATTCTAAGAATCTGTGATATAAATAATATATGTGCATATGTATAACAGAAAGACTTAAAAGCTCCATAATAGATTGTGTAGATTTTGTTAAGACTAATTTTACAATAATCTTGTACAGAAGAGCTTGAGCAAGCGGAAAAGAAACATATCTTTGCTCTAACTTGTAATAGTTGGCATCTCAATAATGGCATCAGTAGATCACTAGATACACCTTCCTGTCTCCAGTACAGAAATTCCATCCTCTAATCCAAGCATTCTGCTTTCACGAGTATGCTAGTAGAAATGGCATGTATTAACTTAAAAGCCATAGTCACAAATCCATCTATAAATAGCAATTATTTGAAATTAGGACAGATGTCTTACAAGGCACTAAAGTATATATCATTACCACCTTCAAGGAAATTCGTTTCATTAGCTAGATGATTTGGATGCATAAGCAATGAATGAGATACTGAGTAGGAGAAGCTTGTAACTAAACTTTCATAACTCCATACCTTATTTGACCGTAAAGACACTCTTCCTCCACAGCGTGCACAGAATTTAGTTTGGCAATATGAACAGTTATGGCCACAGCCATCAGCAAATTTTGTTTTGTGGCAGATGCCACAGGTTGGGGCATCACCCTTCTGCTCCTGCTGCTGCTGAGATTCTTCACCCATCTTCTTCACTTGCTCCTTATACATTTCAAACTGCTGATGTAATTTTCTGCAAAAGAGAAGAGATCATTAACAGTTGTTTTATTTAAGCCCACAAACACTTTGTAATCTTTAAACTACAATCAATTTCAAAATACAAATCATAGAGAAATACTGCAGTAAGGCAAATAAATTTAATTTATGATGCTCCAGAAGTGTAACATTCAAGAATAAAAAAGAATAAAAAAAAAATTTTTCATTACAAATAAACTCTAGGAGGAGGCCTAATACTGATAATAGACAGCACACAGTCTAGCTGTTACGAGAAGTAACTCTGCTTTAGGATGTGACCAGCTGTTAGCTGCAAACACCACAGTAGGAAACATGGGCTGAGTGATCCAAGAGCCCATGGCACTAGACTTTAAACTGGTTAACAGCAGGGGAAAAAAAAGAAATCTCATTTATTCTCCCAAGTGTACTACTACCTAATTCTACCAGACAGATGCAAATATCTGCTGTTGATGCAGCTAATCTTCTTTTATCCAACAATATTGCACAGAATAATAATTCTAAAATGCTTTTTCAATCACTTTCCAAGCACTTGGTGCAAGCCCATAACAAGTTACCTCAGCTTAACAAGTTATAAATCATTTAAGCCATTCATATCATTATATAGGTACTGCCATCTCATGCTAAATACAAGGTAGAAAACTACCTTAGGTGTAAAATTCAGTGATGGTAGTTTAAGATACACACACATTTTACATTCCATTTCCAGAGGACTAGGAGCACAGACATAGTCTGCTGCCATGTGCATACAGACTGCAACAATTCTTTCAGGCATGCTATTTCATTCACATTTCTGATGCTGCAGTAATCAACCCTCCATATGCAATAGTTAAAACTGTTTCAATATGACCAAAGTTAAAGACTCATTTCATGTTCTATAATAGAAATTTCTTCTCAAAGCTCCTACTTCTGAAGTAAATGATGTCACGGGAAATCTAATTTTCATTGTAAGAAGTTACAATTTTTTAGCTCCCATAGTTGCTGAAAAAAGATGGAAAATGTGACATAGCATATGATAGCAAGCGATACAAATACAAAGAGAAAATGAAAAGAATTTTGACTTCTCTTCTGTTTTTATCCTTGTGATTTAAAGGGGTCTAAACAGTGACCTTTACATTCTTAGCATGGAATTCAACTCACCTAATTTTGCTAATAGAAACTGTAAATTTTAAATAGATAAAATGTATTAATCCAATATAAGCAGGCTTTCTAGCCCCTTGAACAGACACAAGCAAAACCCCACAAATGAAGCGTTTTCTATGAAACATTAAAATGTTACACTAAGCAAAAAAAAAAAACAAAAAAACAAAAAAAACCAAAGAAATTGCAAGATTTATTTTTCTTTATAATTATCCTTCCAGAGATTCTTGAGATGATGTTATTAACACATGAAGCCTAAGATTGGGAGACCAATTTCATTAATGAAGTAATATATCCTTTCTATAGTTAAGATATAATGTAATCATACAAAATTATTTCATCAGAAGTGTCAGAGGCTCTTACCAAAACAAATACACTAAGTCAGTTAAAAATTACCTCAAATAAGTATTTACCATGGTGCCGTGGTTTAAAACCAGTCAGCCATAAATCACACAGTTGCTCTCTCACTCCCCCACTTCTCGCCCTCCCCCTGCTCCTGGAGCGGTGGGGAGGAGAGTCAAAAGAATGCAACTTCCACGGGTTGAGATAAGAACAGTTTAGTAACTAAGGTATAACACAAATCACTGCTGCTACCACCAATAATAATAATTATAAGGGAAATAAAAAGGGAAGAGAATACAACACCTCATCATCCGTCAACCGATAACTCACCCCACTGCAACTGAGCACTGACCAATACCTCCTCCCACCCTGCAGTGCCCTAGCCCTTCCAAGTAACTCTCTGTTACATCCTGAGCATGACGTGCTGTGGTATGGAATACCTCTTTGGTCAGTTTGGGTCAGGTGTCCTGTCTCTGCTTCCTCCCGGCTTCCCCTCCTCCCTTTCAGAGCATGAGGCTCACAAAGTCCTTGGTCAATCTAAACATTTGAGCAGTAACTAAAAACACTGGTGTTATCAGTGCTGTTCCCAGGCCGAAAATCAAAAACATAGCGGTGCACCAGCTACTAAGAAGGAGAAAAAATGACTGCGACTGCTGAACCCAGGACACAGGTATATTCACATATGGATATAACTGCTGGGATTTGCTTTGTTTTTTCTGGGGGGACAACTTCCCTAATAATGACCTTTACATTATACCACAGAGAAGTTGCAGGAACAAACAGGCAGCTCCTTCTCTCCATCAGGCAAGCTAGGAGGCTGGAGGCATGTCTCTTCTATGTACCAAAATGCTGCCTCAAGCTCTCAGCTGCCACTGACCTTCTACAGAAAGAGGGAAACCAAGGTTACTTCATGTTGCTTACGTGCCATTTTCTACTCTACCTGCTCTTGTCACTTGAGCTCAACTCTGAATCCACATGCTGTCCTCAGGACATAGCAGTTGTTTTTCTCGTGCTTCCAGTCCTTCTCCCCCACATGCATAAACCTTTGGCCTGAAGCAGAGCAGTGCAATGGGTCATGTCTCTGGCCCTCCACAGGAAGGTCACAAGGGTTGTCATTGACTCAAATGGCATCTGTGGAGCCACAAGTAATTGATTTCTTCTACTATCTCATTGGTTCAAAAAGAGTTCACTACTGACTGTTCTTGGTAGAATGGGGCAGGACCCGGAGTTATTAATAAGAAAAAGCTGAATGAAGTTGAGAACAAAATTTGGAAATCTGGAAGCCTGGCACATTTCAATGTTTTACACTGACAACAGTATATAATTGGTAGTTGCTACTCTGGCCCACTTCCAACAGTAACACATATAATCTCTGAGACCTTGCTTGCCTTTTAATTTTGCCAAACATTGCGTTCTTCATTTAAAGCATATTATCTATGCTGAACTTCAAGTTTATTTTAGGTTTCATTCAGTTTTGTGGCTTCCTTATAATCTACTGCCTTTGTTAGTATGATTGCTTACCAGTCTCACTGATGCATAAAAAGGAAGCCTTTTGCCAATTCTTAAGCCTCATGTACTGAAATAATTTAACTTTTATTTCCTCTTGGGAACAAGAATCTACGTAAAGGTCACAACTTTTACCTCAAACTATAAACTTTTCAAGGTTATACAAGGTAGTTTTCTAAAATCCTTGCTCTAGAAGCAAGCAACTTATCACCTGCCAAAACAGTTTGTTATTACCTTTTTCTGTTCCAAGAAAAATATTACATGTATTGACAGCTGTCAGAAAAAAATAAACACAGAAGACAAAAATCTATTAAATAATCAGTTACACACAATGAATGTTCTCCTTGCTAAGCAGAACAATTTGAATATGCATACTTGAAACAAAATAGAAAGTATTCATTTTAGCAAGTCCGTTAAAAAAATTTCTGATCTATTCTACAGATTAATCTTTCTTTTTTTCCTTTTGTCATCTAGCCTGCAAGGGTTTAAGCCAAAAACTAAACTGACAGCATGCAGTGATAATGAGGTGTTTAGAATAGCACGGTATTTGAAATAAATTTAGTAAAAATTGTATAACATATTTTTCAGAAAACGCAATGCAAATAAAACTCCATTTTGTTCAAGTTGTCTGCACTCAGATCATTGCTGCCTAAGAGGGTTCAGGAATACAGTTACCAGGGTACTAAAAGTACTCAACGCAAACTTCAGAGCGTGGAACTGAACTTGGGTATCTCAAGACTACAGTTTCTAGCTCTTCTCCTCCAGTGAGTTACTCTTTTAATGCAAGTGGCCAAGATCTGCGCTGTGAGACTGAAAAAACAGGCTCTGCAGATGAGCTGCATTTTAGGCCGAAATGCTTATCCATAATACAAATCTTATCCTTAGGCATGAAAGAGTTTTCATGATTAAAATGCCAGATAATTACATCAAACTATGTAACAGAACATTTAAGTAGAAACCTCAACAATTCATATCTTAACCCTTATATATGTGCATTTTGACAAAGGCCTCAATAGCACATGCCCTCTTACTGATGCAAAGCCTCCTTTTCCACACTGTTTCCAAAAATACAAGTATCCACTTTAATACCTCCTATAAATTTTAGAGGAAAAGGAGAAGTTGGTATGAGCTTATGCAAAAACCTAATAACAAAAATCAGGCTGGAAAATTGCTATTTAAGTCCTGCTCATTTTCATCTCTTGTGAGAATGAGATCCCTGAATCACATTCACACCTGCTGGAAGTTACAGTGGTGAAGTACATGAGGCTTATATGATTAGTCAAGACTTCTCTTGTACTGTAAAACACTGTATCCAAAACAGCTACACAGAAGACTTTTCAGTGTGAGAAGTAACTGTTTGAAAGAGCTTGGATTGCTGTGTCAAGGTCAAGAAACAGTTTCTATTAGAATACTTGCTCTGTTCTGGAATGGAATTAATTTAAGTCCGCTCATTCATGGTTCCAGACACCTTCCTGGAAATGAGAAATTCAGCATCAATCAAAAAGCAGCAATCTGTGAGTATCTCATGATCCATGAGCTGCTGCCAAAGGCAAGAAAGAAAAGCATGTTCAACAGCGCCATGTTTCTCACTTGCGCAGAAGTTTTCATTTTCTCCTGTCCTCCAGAAACACTCACAAAACTTTCACCATTTTACACAGGCACACCAAAAAATCCTTAATACTGGCAGGATGTTCCAAAGCCATTCCTGCCTTTCAAAAATTCACTTAAACATTTCAGAAATTTCCAAAGGTGCTTAAAACCTGCCACTAGAAGGGGACTGCTAAGCAAGTATCCAGGATGCTGCGGCCAGATATAAGTGTAGCAGCTACTTCTTATTTCCTGGCTACATTCCTCTCAAAGTTTTATTACTGACTGTAGCTCATGCCTCATTGCCTATTCCCAGGCCGGGAGCACGGATGTGGCTGGAATTCAGGCTTCAAACAGGGTTTGTTCACTTTAAGTTCTGCCAAGCCTGTTCGTTCAACGATTTTTCTGTCTAGTGGCAGTGACTAC